AATAGTGTATGGGAGGAGGGGAATGGGAATATCTTGATTTGGTTATTTGGATTAATGAACTCTTCCAGTTAATGATTTTCTTCATTTAGCATTCAAAATGCTTGTGGGGTTTATATTTCTTTACGTCTATTTAAAAAATATACATATACATACACATACATATACATATACATATATTTGGGGTGAGGTTTTGCAATTATTCATTATAGGAGGCTCCAGAAGTACGTGTGTCTGTCTCTTGGGCACAATGAAGCAACAGAAGGTACAGGAAACGGTGTCAGGGTGGCTCTGAGCCAGGTGCCTCATGGCTGGGCAGGGTGTCAGTGTCTGACCTGAGCCAGGCTGTGGTTGTTGAGCCCCAGGGCTGCTGCAGGGATGGGAGATGGGGCCGTGGCTGCCCAAGGCCTCTCCCCACTAAGCTGGCAGTGGCAGCTGGGAGGGAGGGGAGGCCTTGGGGAAGCCGCGGTGACCATTGCAGTGAACGGGCTGGGGGAGGCAAAGGTGGCTGCAGAGCTTTTGACAGGAGCCCCGGGTGCCACAGCTGGCAGGCTGTGTGAGTGTGTGTGGCACAGTGCTGCCACTTGTCTTGTTATCCCAGCTTGCCTTGTCCTCCCATGCCAGCACTGGAGGCAGGGGCAGACTGACCGCAGAGTCACGGGGAGCCAGAGCCATGGCATCTGTCACCGCTGCCTTTCCTGCAGTGGTGACCATGGCAGGTGGCATTTGCTCCATGAAACAACATGTGGATTTGACTGTTTCACAGACTTTTCAAGTTGCTAGTATTTCATTTACCAGGGGCTAACAAAAAAAGCTTGTTGGAGTCAAGTAAAAACACATTTAATTCAGTATTTCTCTTGCAGTCTAAATCTCACCATATCTCTAATTTTAACTGTAGGCTGAATAATTTTCATCCTACTGCTTTAAAATCAGGGTTGTTCTGCTATGTTTGGGAAGTACAATGCTTTTTCTCTCTCTTAGTCAGATCTGTCCTGCCAAGCTTCTATCACTCGGTGCTCTTGGATGTAAAAATAACATACAGCCAAGGATGATTTGCAGAGTTAGTTTTATTACTGTAAGCAAAATTGAAACATAAAGGATGCCAGCATACATTATGCAGATTAATTTATTAAAAAATATTAAATGCAAAGTATTAGTCCCAGTGAAATGTTTAACCTTGTTCTGACATAATTCCTCAGGGCAGAGTTTGCATTGTGTGTGCAGTACAATCATTCCTCAATACTTCTCTCTGGGTTTTGTTCCTCTTTGGCTTGCTGGTTCCTCATCTGCCAAGCCTTCTGCTGAAGCTGCAGTGGTCAATGTTTGTCTAATTAAAGCACTGTCTTATTCCCTGTTCTTAAAACTACCTGATTTGTTTTACACAAGTCCAAGTACTTCCATTTGAGATAGACTCTTGGCATGACAAATACAGGTGGAATAGTTGTAGCCTGGCAGTGCTATAAACCATGGAGACAGCTGTGAGGTGAAGCCCTGAAGCAGGCAGGGCTATTCCAAACACTGCATCTGCAACACCCTTGTACCTGTGGGGAGAGAGAGCAGAAATACAGGGGAAACACCATGGTGTGTGTGTGATTGTAGCATGTGAGAAACATTGCTCCCCTGGGTCCCTGGCTTAGGATGAGCATGGCAAGACTATGAAAAACACTGAAAGTGGCACGAATCCAAGATTGAGCAAACTTGGTCTGTTTATGTACAAGATCTGGGTTGATCTAATTTTGCATTTAGAGTTTGGCTTCTTCACATGAATTTGAATTGTAAAGCAGTGACTGATACTTATTTATTTTTACTTTGGGTTAATTTGAATCTGCATCTCGGCAACAACTTGTGTCTTTGGACTGCACAGGAGACACTGTACTGTAGACTTCTGTAACAGAAGTGTATAGAAATGCATTACACCTACTGATGTAGAGCTGTTTCACCTCCCAGTATGGAGAAAGTCTCAGTGCTGCCATTCCACCTGGAAGCAGAGCCATGCTGCCCTGCCATGGGGCCGTGCTGCCAGAGAGAGGGCGCTGGGAGCAGTGAGAGGAGCCCTGGGTCTCTGCTGGGCAGCAGCAATGTTCCTCCCAGGCTGGCACATGTTCCACTTGCTAATGTTATGTGTGGACTTTGGCCCATAACATCTTTCCTTGTGAAGCTTTGCTTTATTTCCACGATCAAAAAGGCAGAACAGAACTCTGCTCGCTCTCAAGTGTGAGTCAGTTTGCACAACCCCAAACCTCCAGTTTGGCAGGCTAGTTCTGGAGAGCCTCAGCAATAGTCCCTGCTTATGGAGACAGGCCAGCAGCTGTCAGCCATGTGAGTGGGAACAACTGATGTTTTATATAAGAAAAGATAACTTGGTTTTAGTTGGCTTTGTCTATCTATTTTCTACTTTTGAGTAGTTTCAACCCCAGTTTACTAGTCTGCTAGGTCAAATAAAGCACCTTTCAGTCAGGTGTTTGCCCTGATCAGTCTGGCATCAGCAGGACCAGCGTGGTGATCTGTGGTGACTATTTGTGCTTCCAGAGGCTGTGGGATCTCCCCAAAGATCAGCCCTGTGGGATGGAGCACTGGACGAACGCAAAGCAGGCATGTGGGCAACAGGAGGTGTCTGTGCATGGGTGGTTTGTTCACTGACTGAGTGCAAGGCTGTGCTGATCAGACTTGTCCTGCAGCAGCTGCATCATCTGGTTGTGCCTTTCCGTCATCAACAGAAACAGGCTGTGCTTCATTGCCAGCTCCCTAAAAGCTGCCACCTGAAAAGCTAGTTGTGTATTCGTAGCCATAGACTTATCTGCTGTTGAAAAAAACCACGTGTACAACTGCCAGCTAGGCAGACACAAGGGTCCATGTTCATTTATTGTCTGCCCTAGTGACTGCTGCCTGTTGCATCCCATATTGCATTTCCAGCTCTTGCAAACGGATGGTGGTGGAGCAGAGAGCAGCACTGACTAATGTCACTTGCCAGGTGCTTCTGAAGGACAAGATGGGGCTCAGTGTTTGGAATACACTTAGAAGGATATCTTCACCTGAATTCCTCCATGGCTTCAGCACAACAGTAGAAACACCTTAGTAGAAGCACCTCTTCCTATATTGAAGATAAATTTATTAAGAAAAATGTAGACTACAATGAAGGAACACTTAAAAATATTAAAAAGAAAACAAAGATGGATTCAGTGAATATTCTGTGTCAGAGCAGGGCTTCAAATAGGTGTTCCCTCTGTGCACCACCTCAGTCTGGGCGAGGTACAGAGTTTATTCAAATTGAGTTAATCGGGTAACTGATTTGTCAGAGAGGTTGTCCAATAACAGGGAGTTTGGTGACTGATCAAGGGGTGAGATGAGAAGAGGTGTGGCTGTTCAGGGGCAGAGGGGAGAGTGAGTCACTGACACGTGCTCCGTGGTAAAAGGAGAGCAAACGCAAGTGATTATTGGCATTCAAAAACAGTTAATCTGGTCACTTGGAAAGTGCCAGTTTGCATCCTTGCCTTCTGAAGTGGTTCGTTCTCCTATGTGTAAAATGGTTATGACGGTCCCTGCTCAGCAGCCTTGCTATGCCATGTGTTAGCAGTCGTGGCTAATGTCACTGAAGTGACTTGTCGCTGTGCTTGCCTTGGAATTGCAGTACTTCTGCTCAGCAAACGTACAGCTAACCTAGAAGAAAAGGAGTGAAAACAGCAAGCGTGAGATTATGTGGAGCACAGGAAGAGGAGGCAGCTCATTCCAATAAAGCATGCAGTGGCATGTTGAGGTGGAGGTGTGAATCCAGGCTGCAGGATGCAATCTAGGATCTGCCTGGGCTTTGAAACTGGATGTGGCAATCCGACGGCAGTCGTGTTCTCTGCTGCTGGGGCTGGCAGTATTTTGAAAAACAGCTTTGACACAGACATGCATAACTGATGACAACGGCCTTGTGAACGTAGATACGAAACAACCAAGCCCGAGCCCAGAATGCAGCAGGTGCTGACTGGTTTCTCCTTTATTGCATTCGAGGCCGAGGCCTTTGTTCCAGGCAGAGCAGTCTTACAGACTCATAGAATTGTTTGGGTTGGAAGAAATCTCCAGAATTAAATAGGCAGTTTCCAGGTGTGATCTGTGGTGCGTTCTGATCCTGGACGTGGGGGTAAGATGTGCAAATTGGAGCCTTTTGTTACAGAGCAGTGAAATCCTGCTGTGGTGCAGCAGCAGAGCTGATGGCTTCCTGAAGTCACGCGGAGCTGGCTCTTGGCTTTGGACACAGCCGGAGCACTCCTGTGCAACCGGGCAGAAACAGAGCGAGTGGGGCAGTGGGTGCTGCTGGGTGGGCAGCAGCCCTGTGCTCCGTCACGGAGCCAAGGCAGCCCGGCCGCGGTTGGAGCACGGACCGGGCCGGCCAGCCCAGCGCTGCCTGCGGGCCGCACGGTGACTGCTGTCTGGCTCGGCTGGGGTGCTTTCAGTGAAACTCCCGGTGACTCGGCAGCCCAGCCGGCATCCCGCCGGGCCCTGGCTCCCGGAGGGCCGGGCGGGGATTGTCGGCAGTGCCGTGCTCCGGGCCGCTGCCCGGCGGGAGCGTTCGGAGCTGTCGGGGGGGATTTCTCTGGCACGGGTGGGCTGCATCCTGTGCTGTTACCAGGCGGAGCTGCGGTAAAACATCGCTGTGCACATCGCACATACTGCGACAGGGGCTGTCTTTAACTGTGGGAGTGTTCTTCTGTACACCAGCTCCAGACCAAACAGGGCTCAGCCTCCTCCTCCGCTCGTGCGGGGATGTTGGGAGGTTGAATCTCATCAGGTGTAGCAGCATCCAGACACCTCACAGGCGTTCGATTACAGTAATATCTGCCTCCTTCAATGCCCAGAGGGATAAAATAACTGAGGAGCTGCTGCTCTGTTTCTAACACTATTTCTCTTTTATTACGTGGGTTAGAGTCTTTGTTCCAAACACAGTCCAAGCTGCCTTTGAAATCAGCAATGTAACTACATCCTCATGCACTGCATCATTTCCTTTCTTTTTCATGCAGGCTCGCTGTGTTTCTCCCTTGCCGAGAGCGAGATTGCGGGCAGCGCTGCGGTCTGGCACGGCGCTGGCAGCGGAGCCGTGCCGTGATTCAGTCTCTCACAAGGTCACGCGGTGAATCGCTGCTGCTGCCAAGAATAGCACCCCGAGTCTCTTGGCTCTCTCAAGCCCACCCTCGACACTCCAGCCTCCTTCCCTCGGTGAGCATGATCTGATTCATAATGCAGCAGCTCTGCTGTGAGGCTGGCTACCTCTGTGATCCTGCTGCGGCTACAGAGGAAAACAGCCAGGCTCAGGCAGCAACAGAGATTGCACATGCCTGTAGCAAAAAGTCTAAACCCCAGAAATGGTATTTAGCAGCTTATCTTATCTACAGATAAGCTCATAAAATGTACTGACTGGTTAAAAATAGGTTTTAAAGTTCTTGGCAAACATCTCGGGCTTTTTATTCTTTGTGTTTTTCTGCAGTACAAAAATACGATTTCAATTATTCTTATTAGCTTTTTCTGGTCTTTTTGGAAAAGGACCAAATTATTGATGGGTGTTTTTAGCTTTTAATTGTGCCTCAAGTGCTAAACTTATTCCTGCTATTTGTTTGCAATATGTTTAGGCTATGTTTAGGCAAATGTGAATGTAAGTGGTTATTCAGCGCCTTTGGCACTCTGAACAGAATGTACTGAACTCCTGGGGCTTGGTACAAAGCCTCAGCCTCCAGCCCTTACAAAGCCTGTGCAGGCAGCAACTAAAATAGGAGAACTACCTAGGCTTGACAGAGGGGGTTCAGATGATCTGGGAAGACCATGAATCATGCGCCTAGCTTTTGTTCTCTGGGCTGGGTAAATGAAATAAGGGCATTTCTGTTAGCTGAGGGCGCTCTGGAGGTCTGGGCATGCTCAGCCTGTACTGCTGGGGCCTGTGGAGCCTTTGCAATGTATGGTTCAGCAGCAAGGTTCCTCTGGGCGTACTGGCAGTCAGTGTGCTCCTGAAGCATAATGGAGGCTTTCCTTGGCCAAGAGCCACAGTGCTGGAAGCAAGCAAGCCAGCACGGTGCCGCTGCCTGCGGCGTGGTCACTGGCAGCAGCTTGGGATTTTTACAGTTGTTTGCCTGTTACCCAATCTATTTCAAGCTGTGATGGAATAAGGATGGCATTCGATTGCAGTTCTGCGCACAACTGCTTGGCTTTTATAACCCATGTTTTAAATGGGAGGTTTTTCGATGTGTGCTTTTGTCTCCAAATAACTTCAGACTCGTAGGTTTAGGCTTGGTGCTCTCTGCTGGCCTTTGCTGTGGCCTGATGAGACAACTCACAACTCTTGCTCCAGAGGGTGCTGGGTTACTGAGGTGAGAAGCCCTCAAAGGAAGAGGGTAGTGATGACTGTGGGGCACATAGAACAGAGCCTCCATCCTGGTCTAGGTCTCATGATGGAAATAAGGATGTCTTTGTAACTCGATTTTTTTGTTGGATTTTATTTATCATCTCTACAGTGTGTCTGTGTCTCCTGATCTTATGATCCAGAGGTGGCATGCTCTGTAAAGACTTTATTATTTATATTTATCTGTTGCTACAGGATAAATCTCTCCTGACATGGCACTGATCAGCTGCTAATGCTGGGTCTGACTCTGTTTTGCTGTGTTCATGTGCCTCTAACGGTGGAATGAGTGGTCTCCATCTACCATATAACATACACCTGAAACTGGTGCTCTGTTGTACCCCAAGTCTGAGACTTCTGCAAGCAGCCTGTCATGCAAGCTTGACCCCACAGTTTTCAGTGGATTAGGTAATTTGGTGGTTATAGTGAGGCTTAATTTGTCACTTGTTTCAGTGCTGTGGGGAGTGAGGCAGCAGGCTTGCTGCTTCCTGCAAGTGAGTGCAGCCAGGAGATGGATGTTTGCCATCTGCGAGGAAACCCAGGACTGGCAGAGCAGGTAGTCAGTCAGTTATGAGAAAAGGTAAAAAAAAGCACAAAAGCACTTAGTGGAGAGAGGGATGAAGTACAGAGAGGCAGAGAGGCAGGGATCAGTAATAGATATCTTTTGTCTCCTTACATCATAACCTGAGAAACTCTGGAAAGCAAATTACCAAAGCTGCTGCTTTAGGCTGTCTTTGGGGGGAAAGGAAGACTGTGGGACATCCCTGCTTTATTCTGAGTGTTTTTCAAGGCCTATGTTGATCACTGATATCCATAAAACAAACATGCATTGATTGTCATTTGAAATTAGATTTCTGCCCATATATTCTTTTGCTTTCCTGTTTTGATGGCCATATATTTTATAAAAAACTTTTGATTTTATATTTCCAAGCTTCACATACAAATATCAGATTTGGGGCTACTGTGTGCCTCATTCATGCAAATATCTGATATCTGTAGCACCCCAGGACTGGAGCCCTCTCCCGGCCTTGGAAGCCAGGGGCTGCTGAGCCATTGTGCAGGCTGGTGCTGCATGCGTGACAGACAATCACCTTCTGCACAAAGTGAAATTTCAGCTGATGAAACCTCCACCTGTGTATAATGTAGGTTAGAGGGAAATCTGGAATGGCTGGTATGTTAGAGTGAACTACAGTTTGTGCTGTTGGGGCCCCAGGGATGGCTCGTTACTGCAGCTGCTATTTCCCCAGAAAAGCTTCACTTGAAGTAAAGAGGCAAATTGTAGCAATTTGGCCCAATGCAAGTACATGATGCCCCAAAATCTAACTGCAGTCACTAAAGAGAAGGCTGCTTGAGTCAGCTTTCAGTGAGAAGTATACAAAGAATTTGATCCTTAAAAAAATCTAATTAATTCATTGTCTACTTTTAGAGTACAGCTCCTCTACTACAGGTACTATCTGAGGGACAGCTCAGAACCATTGATGCCAAGGCTAGCATCCTATCTTATCCTGGTTTTACTAAATCAGATTTAGGGCCAATAAGACCCAATGGGTCTTATTCTTACATGTACTTTATTAATGTGTCCTTTCTGTTGATTTCAGGGTTATGAAGCTTTCTGCAGCAAGACTTGAAGCAGCCAGATTCCAGCTTACATCAAAGCCCCTGGGATTCACTTGTGATTTCTGGTAAGGCTTCTTTATGGTATTCCTGATTCACATTTTGAAGTCATAAGGTTTTATTGTGTATGAAATGCCATAGGAATCTTCTGCTTTCAAAAACTTGTCACACTTCAGTGTCTTTTGCTTGTGATTTCCAAAACAACCTGTGTTCTGTAAAAGCAGTTCTTCACAAAGCTTTGGATGTGTTTTCCAGCACTTCCTGAGGGTGTCCCTGATCCAAGCTCTGCTTTGGTGTGAATGCATGAGAAGCTGAGAGACTGATTGCTTTCTGCAGCTCACCTTCATTTTTCCTCTTGTGTTAAGGGCCATAAAGCAGAAAAGTAATTGAAAAATGGGAGCTGAAGTGCTGTGTATGTTCTTGTAAGAGCTGGTTGCCCTTCTTATTCCTTGCCTCTTTACTCAGTTGTTATGTATTTGGATTGAAAATGGAGGATTTTTATCTGGCTGAGGCAGGCTGGCAGCCAGCTGGTGGCCACCAGTGGCCCAAGGGCTCCTGACCCTGGACAGGCCACTTGTCCTGTGTACTTGCAGCAGCTGGCTCGGGATGACCAGCTTGCTTTACTTAGAAGGCTGATACATCCACGGGCTGTGACACCATAAACTGAGCAGCTGATTGCTTTGGAGCCTGCAAAGCACAAGAGAGGGTTGAGTTTTGTTGCATTTTGAGCCTGTAGAAGGCAAAAGTAACACTCTGGCACTCTTTATCTGTGTGGTCCCAGGATGGAGTACGGCGAGTTGCAAAGCGTGGTGGGAGCAGACAATGCTTGTGCTGACAGCAGAGGTTGAACTGTCATGGAAAAGATGAGCAAGCCAGTTCCACATCAGCTTTCTTTTCTGAGACCTGTGAGTACTGTCAGTGCTGCTGCTATTTCAATAGATGAGCTGCTGCCCTGGGTGGGATTCACACCATTGCTGTGCATGTCCAGTGTCACCTTCCCAGAAATGGATGAAGGGAGAAGAGTGCATGAGCCTCCCAGTGCTCCCTCCTCCTGTCTCCTGCCCTTCACAATTTTGCTGTGTTGGGAACTGCTTGAGATACAGCAGGGGCAGGAGAGACCAAGGTGGCAGCAGAAGAGGAGAGCATAAAGGGACCAAAGAGAGAGGAAATGCATGAGCCACAGGCAGAGAAGGCCAGGATGCCATCCTTTATTTTGGCCATGGTCAGCCTGTGCTGAGGAAAGAGCAGGCCTCCAGAGGTGTTCCCTGTTATGCCTGGCTGCAGTAATCGTAGCTTGAGCAAGGAAAAAGCCATTCCTTCCTCCTGACGGGTGGAAGAACCTGTCCAGTCATGAAGATATCCATCCCAGGTGTGTCCCCTGTAGTCAGTGCTGCAGGAATCAAACTCCTGCTCTGGCCAGCTCAAAGGAATGTTGTCAAAAGGCCAACAAGAAACTCACCTGATGCAGCTCTGGGCCTTTGGAAGCTCATGTTTCCAATCAGACATGGTGTAAAAGCCTTATTCTACAGGCAGATGATGCAGTACCAGTAAGTGAAGTTTCTGAAGGGATGAAATTGTCAGCTAAGTTCTACTCCTGGGGTGTTGCAGTGTGATGTCATGATTTGCCTCAGTTTCCCCTAGATTCTCCCTGAAATCTCCTTCCCCAAGTGGGTTGTCAATCACCCTTCCTTTCCCCACCCTTGACCCCTGCTGGGCACTGTCTATCAACCCAGAGATTCCAAGGAGAGTGTCGAGCAATTGGCAGGTTCAAAGGATGCTCTCCACCCCCTGGGGCCATTGGCCCACCCAGGTGTCCCTCTCACCTGAGACCCCCTCCCCCTGTACCTGGTTGGTGCTCCCTGGGTCCCCTCCCCTGTCCCTCTGCCCAGGTAAAAGGGCCAGCAGACCATGTGGCTGGGATTGTGGTGGAGAGTTCTGTTGGAGAGTTCATGGGAGTTATTGCAAGATTCAGAGACTGCCATTGAAATAAAAACTCTCCATCCGGACCCACTCCTTTCTTCACCTTGCCTTAAAGGTTTCTCCAGCTCAGGAAGGCCAGAGGAGTGACCCCCTCACAGCGAGCTCCAGCTGCAAGCACTGGAGCTCGGGACGTGCCTGGACTTGTCCCCACGTGCCCAGCTGTGACCACAGGTACTGAATAGCATCTCTGGGGAGAAAACACCACAGGTGCAGCTATTTATTTGGTCAGCAGCTGAGACCAGACAGACCAAGGCAGTCCTGTCTGTAATATTGGTACACTCCAATACTGGGGTCCTTGCACAAATGGAAGACAGCAGCTATATTTGCTGGGAAAACCAATAGATGCAGGACCATCCCTCTGACCAGGAAGCACTGAACATTAAATAGAAGAAAATGCAGATTCTTTTTGAGTTTTTATTTTCTTGCTACAATTGCAGGCAAAGAGGACTAGATTTTTCTGGAGAATACACCTACAGTGTGCATATACTATAGTGCATTTGTCATTGCTATGAGCAGTTAGTATTAGGGCTGACTGAGCAGCAGCTTGTGTGGATGCACCAGGTGTTTTATGCACAAACTTGGAGAACGAGATATTGATTGATCCTAAGGCCTTTTTTTCACCTGTGTTCTGAAAGGGACAGCTGGGACAGAAATCTGCTTTGGTGAATCTGAGACACTTGGGTCTCTTTTATTGTCAAAGAGAGAAGATGGCCTAATTAACCAAGTTGTAGTCATTGTTAACACCCATGGTACATCTTCTGTGCCAACAAATACCCCTTGCAGTGGATGTCAGTGGGTACAGAACTGGACTGCCAAGAAACTTCGTGGAATTTCCTTTCCTTTTGCTTCCTTGGGGGCAGGATCTTGTCACACCTAAGTCACCCTTAGCCAGCATGAACTGCTCTTCTATAGAGTGGTGGATCCTTAACAGGCATGGTTGGTCTGTTTCCACTTGGTTTCACCTGTGCTATTCAGCTTGCTCAGCAGTGATACAGCTTTCTGCAGCTTGGCACCTTGAAAGTCTTTTCAAGTACAAGGCAGGTGCTTCAGGAAGAGAAGCAGTGATTCAGTGTTAAAGCTGCCCATTCTTTATACTCAAGCTTGTTGCTGTGTGTGTTTAGACACTGATTTCTATCTCCTGTCCAGCATTTTGTATCCCTCTTCTCTTTAGTACTTTATCTCCCTTCTGCTCTTTAGTGCTCGTTGTCAGGTCTCTGCTGCAGAGGGGAGGACACTGAGGGGAGTGCTGTGGATCAGCCTCATCTGGCATGTGGTGATGGATGCTCACAAGAGCCTGCTTCTCCTCCCACAGAGCATACATCCGTGTTCTTGCTGCTGCCTCCTGTAGCACATTCCATGCTTTGGTCTTCCCATCCCTGCCTGGGCTCTCTTCTGCAGGCAGCTGCTGGTGAGTAGCCTGTTTGCTGTCTGGCTGCATCCACTGTCCCGATTTAGTTTCTCTGCTCTGGTTGTGAGTGAGATCTGCATGTTTGGTTCATCTTCCACTTCCTGGCTCTGATTCTCCTCCCATTCCTGAGCAGTGTGGCTCTGCTGCAGATGAAAATTGTGCGGGGGCCAGGCTGGGATGAGCTGGGAACATTCATCCCCCAGCACTTTACATTCCTCACAGGTACCTGAAAGAACCAGTGAAAGTGGCTGGTGTCCTGAATGTGCAAATGCAGGTGTGTGACAGATGAGCCAGTTGCCCATTTTTTGGTGAAATGAGTAAAGCAGGTGTATGCAGACAGGTAGGGTTCTACTCAGGGACCCTCCTTTGTGCATGTGGCTGCTGCAGTTTGTCCCCAGTGCCACATTACTGCTTGTGGGCCTCAGCCTGTGGTGAGAGAAGGTGAGCAGCTGGCAGGCAGGCAGCAAGAATGTGCTACTTAAACATAGGTTGCTGATGGCTGTGTTCCCTGTCTCCAGATGTGTGGCTGCTGTGGGATGCAGGGACCTCCCTCTGTGCTGTGGCAGACAATTCCATTATTAGCTTAGTGGCAGCTTTCCATATGCCAACACTCGTGACTGCAGGACTGTTTAATTTTCACTGCTCCAAAGTATTTAATTTGTCAGTTGTTAGCTTCTGCTTTGTAAAGATCAAATGCCAAAGTCCTTACCTAGATTTTTACTCAGTTAGGGGTAGGACATGGATTCTGTATGAACAGACCATTAGACCTAGTCAGGATCAGGGGCAGGATCAGAGGCAGCATAAGGTCTTGAATTCAGAAAGTCAGTCACTTCTAGGCTAATTAGTAGAAACCCCTTGTCTTCAGGGATGGGTGTCTAATCTCCCTTCTTCTGTTAATTTCTATTTGATGAAATGAAAAATCAGTACTGCTAAAAACACTGCCCACTCACATTTTGAAGATGGACTGTGCAGATGAGGTGTGCAGTTGTGAGTGCCTGACTGAAGGTTCTGGCCCCTCTCTGGTGTGGAGAGCTGCTGCTGTGAGCAGATCACCCTGCAATTCACTGCGGGGGGCCTCTCTTTAATTATTGAGTGCCAGAATAGATGTATATTGAGTTACCTTGCTGGCAAATATCATCTCCAGCATCTTGTGTAACTGCAATATTCTCAGTTTTCCTACCTGCATAACATGGTCTTCTTCAAAAAATCTAGAACAAGACAAAATATGGTTTTATATATTGCTTGTCTAGCAGTACATGTTTCCAGAGAGCAACAGGTTGTACACTGGCTTTGAGGATAGCCTTCCCTGGCAGCATGGCTTGCTCTCATATACAGTCAAGCCTGCACTTGGATGTGCAGCAGAATGAAGCAGGATGTGCATGGTGCACTTTTAAACCAACCAACCAAACCAAAAAAACAACCTCCAAAAATTCAGAAAAAAGGGAGAGCAGTCTTAAGCCAGCACAGCTTCATGAGAGGAAAGTCCTGCTTATCAAACCTGATTTCTTTTTATGACAAAGTAACCCACCTAGCTGATCAAGGAAAGTCATTTAATGTAATCTTTTGAGATTTCAGTAAAGCTTTCAATACTGTCTCTCATAATATCCTTCTGGACAAACTGTCCATCTCACAGCTGGATAAACATGTCATGGGATGGGTGAGCAACTGGCAGGACCTGAAGGAATGGCCTGAAGTTGTCAGAGGAGGTTTAGGCTAGATATTAAAAGAAGTGTGTGGTTGGGCATTGGAACAGGCTTCCCAGAGGAGTGGTCACAGCATCAAGCCTGACAGAGTTTGAGGAGCATTTGGACAATACCTTCAGGAACACTGTGTGGTGCTGCAAGACCAGGAGTTGGACTCCTTGGTCCTTGTGGGTCCCTTCCAACTCAGCATATTCTGTGATGCTGTGGATTTTGCTCTCACTGCTCTGAAATGTTCCATTTGGAGCTGTTGCTGTAGAAGACCTGGCTGACATGTCTTGATGGAACTGTAGTGGAATTCTGGCCAAGTGGTGCATGACTTCAGAGGCTGCCTGCATCCGTGCAGGCTGTACTGGCGTCACTTGCAGGAGCACTTGGAGATGGAGGTGGGGAGAGAAAATCGACATACATGTTTATGATTTTTCCCATCTTGCAGAGATGTAAGTGGCAGCCAGTGTTCCCTTGTCCCTTCTCTGTCCCTGTCACACACAAGCTGCAGGCATCAGAGCTGCGAGCCCTGGGTGAGAAATTAGCTGTGGGTCCCTTGACCTTGGTTCCTGTGAAATCCTCTGGATAAGAAGTCTCCAGTGCTCACAGCCATGATACAAATATTACATATGTTCTTTCTAAGTATGGCAAGCAAACCTTGTCGTTCCTTATTTTGCAAAAGAAATAAAACTGATGAATTCCATGTAATCCTGATGACAGTTAACAAAATAAAGAAACATTACCCAATGCCTAAATGGAAGAAAAGGCAGTATTGTGGTTAGTCGAATGCTTTTGTTAGTCACAACTTTCAGAGAATTTGATGAGTGAGGCAGGAGCAGTGAGCCCGAGCTCCCTGCCCTGTGACCGCCCAGGTTTGTCCCCTGCAGCAGCGCTGGCAGGTCCTGGCAGAGTGGGTGCAGCTGGGATCTCTGGTGCTGCTGCATCCTGGCGAGAGCAGGGGAGCAGGGCTCCATCTACCGCTGTGTGGGGAGAAGGCAAAACCAGCCAGGATGGCATTCCTCCGCCCGGGAAAGCTGCTGGGCACGGTGAGCTACGTGCGCTTTTCTTTTTTTCTTTTTTTCTTTTTTCTCTTCTTTTTTTCTTCTCCCCTGTGGCTTCCAGAGCCCTTCATTTCCAGTCCAGTTCCCTGACTGGGACATTGTGCAGGTCTGTAGCTGGGGACAGTCCCCACTTGTTCATCATGTCAGGTGAGGCTGGAGAAAACAGCATGGAAACAAAGTGACTTGTACACACACACACACAGAATTGGAAGCAGAATCTGAGATGAACCCTGATTTCCAGTCTGTTTATCTGACAGGATGGGGTTCATGCTCCAAAACATGTTGAAAACAGAGTTCTTGGAGGGCTGCAGGAGCAAGAACAGGGTCAGGATAGTGCACATTTCTGGGGCTTCTTTCTTGATCTGCCAGTGCTCTGCTTCTGAATCTCCTGCACTTGTACAGCCAGAGATGTGTTTCTTCTATATTTACCTATACCCAGGCATTTGTATGAGAATGGAGCTCTGCATGAGCCATAGGTCCTGTTCTGCCAAGCCTGGGGATGCAGTGAGGGGTGTGAGCCCTGGACCCAGCCCTGTATGCAAGTCCTGCAAACAAATTTGGTTCTCAATACTTTCAGCTAAAATCCTACTCTTTGCCTTGCAGATTGCAGCTGAATGGTGGACCAGGTTGTCCAGGGCAGCTGTGGCTGCCCATCCCTGGAAGTGTTCAAGGCCAGGCTGGACAGGGCTTGGCAGCCTGGGATAGGGGAATGTGACCCTGCTGATGGTGGGGTTGGGGGACAAGATGGTTTTTAAAGGTGTCTTCCAACACAAACCAGTCTGTGATTCTATATTGAAAACTAAATATTTTCCCCTGTCCTTGATATTTGCGATCACCTGAGTTAACCCCACTGTGCTGGGTGAGATACTGTTTTATATAGCTGGTACTGCCCAGTTTGAATAACTCCTGAAGGATAATGTGTGCAGTGTCATTCTAGAAAAAAAGCCAGATTTTAGGATTTAGAATACTAGGAAAAGGTGCTAATTTCTCTTTGCAAGTGATTTGCTGGTAGTGAGAACCCATGGTTATTCAGTGCTAGCAGGGAACATGAGAAGTGTCTGGATTCTTAGGCTTCCACAAAAAGCTTAACTGATAGTTCTGCACTGATGGCAGGAAGAGTTTGAGCTTACATTATTTGACTGGGAGAGCTTGTCTCAAGTTATGGGAACAGATGTTTCAGATTTGAGTTCAGCCTGGCAGAAAAGGGAGATCAATCTAGTCCCCTGCATTTCCCATCTTTTGCTTGGGAAAAAAAAAAATCATAAGTGAGTGTTGCAGCGTGCTTTTATACTTTGTAATACTTTGTAATAGTTTTGATTCTCCCCAGATGATGTACCCCTTTTTGTACCCCCTTCCTCTACCTGTGTAACCATTCTCCTGTGTTGAGATCACCCCCCAAATCCCCGCCCTGGCCTTCTGTCAGTCACCCAGCATCCATCCCTTCTATCTAGATCTTTCGGTCAAAGCCGTCGAGTGATTTGCCCGAAGCCAGGGGTCAGCCCCCCAAAGATGATGCTATACGCTATCCCAAATGTCCATCCCCTAAGGCTGCATCCCTGGAGGGTCTTTATTGGTCAGCAAATGTACCTACCCGCAAGTGACTTGTACACACACACACAGAATTGGAAGCAGAATCTGAGATGAACCCTGATTTCCAGTCTGTTTATCTGACAGGATGGGGTTCATGCTCCAAAACATGTTGAAAACAGAGTTCTTGGAGGGCTGCAGGAGCAAGAACAGGGTCAGGATAGTGCACATTTCTGGGGCTTCTTTCTTGATCTGCCAGTGCTCTGCTTCTGAATCTCCTGCACTTGTACAGCCAGAGACGTGTTTCTTCTATATTTACCTATTCCCAGGCATTTGTATGAGAATGGAGCTCTGCATGAGCCATAGGTCCTGTTCTGCCAAGCCTGGGGATGCAGTGAGGGGTGTGAGCCCTGGACCCAGCCCTGTATGCAAGTCCTGCAAACAAATTTGATTCTCAATACTTTCAGCTAAAATCTTACTCTTTGCCTTGCAATTTGCAGCTGAATGGTGGACCAGGTTGTCCAGGGCAGCTGTGGCTGCCCATCCCTGGAAGTGTTCAAGGCCAGGCTGGACAGGGCTTGGCAGCCTGGGACAGGGGAATGTGACCCTGCTGATGGTGGGGTTGGGGGACAAGATGGTTTTTAAAGGTGTCTTCCAACACAAACCAGTCTGTGATTCTATATTGAAAACTAAATATTTTCCCCTGTCCTTGATATTTGCGATC